TATAATAGGAAGTCTTATTAGGCTTAGTAATACTTAAATATATTCTTATATAGGAATAAGCCGCTAATAGTTTTACAAAGCCTTTAAGAGTAATAGCGTTCCGGCGATTTATTAATTAATTAGGACTGCGTCCTAATACCTAAAGAAAGGTTTTTTAGAAGCTAAATAGCTTTATTTTTTATATAGGAAAGGACTATAGGGGGATTCTTTTTAAACGATTTATATAGCATTAATTGTGGGGGGTATTTGTTATCTCTCAGATACCATAGGCTCGCCATCCTATAGTTACTGACTATATAGTTAGTCATCTTTCCTAGTTTGTATAGTAACTCTACAACAATTTACATATTGTATACCATTGTCTACCATCGTAGACATCAACAATTCAAGGAGTGGGGGACTTCCGACTGGCCGAGGATGGCAAGATCTCGAAGCACGAATTCGCAGGCAACTGGAAAATGATTCACTCAAGCTCGACAAACAAAGCTATCACGGCGGATAGAAACTCACTTTATACACTGGATGGGGTCAATGTCGAGAAATGGAGCGAAAACGGCTGGACCAGGATCGATGGCAACCCCATAAACGTGCAGATTGCTGGAGGTGACGCTGGCCTCTTCCTGCGTCAAAAGGACGGGGCGATTTGGAAATATGATGGCAGCGCGAAGAAATGGTCACGGATCTTTGGAGAAGCAACAGGAACTTTTGACAGCGTTCATATTGCTGTGGCTAGCTCCGCCTATCGGGTGAACAGCAAGGGTGAGATCTTTATCTACCGCGATAATGGACGCTGGGATCGGATCAAGGGCGAAGACCCCCATCCTAGCCCACCGTCCCAAACTGGTGTTGCACTAGCAGCTGTTTACAACGGAGGCTATGGAAACACTGCACAAATCCTCCTCTGTATTGGGAACAGCGCTGCCGGACAGAGCGGCCTCATTGAAAGTAAGAAAGCCACCCTAATCTCATCCATCCATTGTTACTGACTGATGAGTAGCACTAGCAAATGAGTATATAAAATCCAAGGTCGCTAAGGGCGGCCAACCATTCAGAATTCCCTAGTATAAGAGTGACACTACCGAGTCGATCAACTACCTAAAGGACGGCACTGCTGATCTTGCTATTACCTATACTGAGGCAGCTGAGAACCTCGCCATTGAACAGGGAATTGCAGTTGCACCGCGTCACTATATCTTTCGTGAGCATTTTCTGTTGGCAGGACCGCATTCCAACCCGGCCAAACTTGATCTAGAGGCGGATATCTTACATCAGTTCTCCACTTTGTATACAGCAGCAGAGGCTGGAAACACCACACCCTCTGTTCGATTCCTTAGTTGCTATGACAAGTCCGCCACTAGCATTAAGGATTCCGAACTTTGGATCAAGATTGGACAGATCCCCTGGGCAATGAAGTACTCAAACTGGTACCACCAGTTCATAGCATACCCTATCCAGGCTCTGTCAGCGGCTGCCGCCCTTCAGGAGTACACCTTGACAGATTTCGGAACTTACCTGTCTGTGGATGAAACTGTTCGCAAACAGCTGACGATCTTCAAACGTGGCCAAGATGATCCAGCCGACTTGCTTCTCATGCCGGCCCATTTGCTGGTAGGCGCCAACGCTCAGGATCTCACTCTAGCGAAGGATTTTGCTGCATGGGCAACAGGAAAAGAAGGGCAGGCTGTGATTGCAAACTTCATCAAAATTAGTCAAAAGGTTTATTCACCTGCACCTTGATCTGAGCCCAGGATATTTATCTTGAATATTAACTTCACTTTTACCCACTTGGCATATTATGTATTCTGCAAATTAATCTAATAAGCCTTGTTCTCATTTCATATCATAATCATACCACTCTAGGACTGCATCTACATTCTGGCCAAACATAGGATCATTGTTGTTGGACACTCGGTAGGTGAGAGAATATGGTGATTCAAGACCATCCACATACACAGTCCAACACGCCGTGCCAAAACAAATTGTATAAAGGCCATCTTCATGATATGAGATGTCACAGTCAACGCCTCTCGCGTCCATGATTGACTGGGGGAAACCTATACAGGTCTCACGCCCCCAATCTTGACCGTTTCTCGACGAGTTAAAGCGGATCGTCCGGTCATGTCGACGGAAGGACACATGAAATGCGATTTCGCCTCTTTGATTGTATAGATTGAAATGGTTGTTGTCACTGCTACTACTGCGCCTACCCGACCAAATATGTTGTAACTTTATGGAGATAATGTCTCCCTTGGCCATTGAGCGGTTGAATTTGAAGGAACCGCTTTTTAAATTGACAGTGCCTGGTAATTCGTTCTCCATGGCGCTGAAACTTTGGTTTATGGAAGCTGGCACTGTGCAGTTTAGTATTCCTGCCTTTTGAAATCTGGTCTCTATGTTGCTTCTCACGTACCTTGAATGTACCCCGGGATGATTCTCAAATTTTGTTAAATGCTTCGCCTTTCACAAAGAATGATTATCAGCATATTCCGGGATCTGGACCCTGATAATGTTTTGACTCACTTCGTCTGCTATGATGGTAATAACAATAATAATAAAAAAGAAATCTTAAAATTCCCGTGCTTGTTCTGTGAATAGTTGATACCTCAAAAGAAGGTTTATCCAGCAATGAGACAATTCCCTCATATATATGTATCAAGGAAAAATAACGCTAGATATATATATAGAAAATGGTAGACCTGGTGACAATAAATTCAAGAATAGGGGCTGGCTGAGTGTGATGTGGCTTGAACAGTACAACCACCCCACCAGTGTTTGTACTGTGGAAAGCAAATTGGAAGGGATTCAACATCTCCGAAAAAACTCCATTAGTTCTTGAGTAATTTTAAAAAAAGTATTGGCTGGCCCTAGCACAAGTGCTGAAAATCTGTAGCTAACTGAGAAGGTGTTGAGTCTGCGTCACCTTTAGCCTGTCTTTGGGATGCAGTCATGTCTCAATGGAGGCCTTTCCGCTATTTCCCGCAACCCTGTGGTACTTGAACCAAGCAAAAATCACCACAAATTCACATCTGACCGATCAGCAGATATTGTCTAGCACAAGTCTCTCAACCTGATTTGTGGGTATTTGCCGAATCCTGCGAATCTTTCCAGCTAGGTTCAATTGCCTTAATGAATTTACCTTTCAATACAAAATATTTGGGATCAGCATAAGCAGGGAAGGAAATAATCATGCTGGAAGAGGGCGAGAGCAAACATAAAAAATATAGCCATGGTTTAAATAACAATAATGCCATGCTGACTAAATTGTCTATTTCTAAATAGGCTATTGGAGGATTAATTGGGAAACTTCTATATACCCTGTGTCCCCCAGATAGATGGTTCATCTGTGAGCATAATATTATCTCAAGTCTTTGCCCCACTGTTTGAGCTCTGTCGTTCAAGAAACTGAAATTGAGAATACAATGTCATGTAGGAATATCTTCTCCAATCAGATATACTTTCTCTTCAACTCGCCAAGAACTGATTAGAAAAGACTAGCAAAGGTTTTCTGGATCAAAGCTCGCTATAATCAATTAATTTGAGTCTAGCATGACGCATTGAACTAATTCCTACAGATGGTGGCGCTTCGCAAGGAGCTGGATCAGTGGTGGCTGGCTGAGCAACACCATGTTTGCTTCAGCATTCAGGCCCGCTGACAACAGGAGAAGAGGATGGATGACGGTATTTTCCAGCCAGCCATTCCCATTGCAGTCCTGAGTGGGTATTCAATTACATTTCCCCCGATTATTCTGCGGAACTGGAAATATGATACTTAAGGCAATATCCCGCACACCAGTATCTGAGCAGCTGCACCTATACATACCACCTAAGTTTGTTACATATTCCTACCCTTCCATACAATATGCCGTCCGTCGCGTGGAGCCAGGTCAATGAGACCAACCCCAGCCCATACGACCAGGTCTTCATCCTGAGTGAAGCAGTGATCAATCAGTCCTTTCAGGCCATGTTTCCTATGCCTGTGCCGTTCAGCCGACAGGACAAAGAAGCTGTCCGGACTCGTCAGACTGGACAGTGGATTAGTAATGGGATGGTTAGTGCCCCTCAAGTCTCCATCCATGTCGAGGAGCGCAGCCCAGCCTACCTGACCTTGTTTACCTTACCCTTCACCTCTGGGATGATCCATCTTCGCACCTCGCCTCGAGGAGCACGAGATACATTTCAGAACTTTCCACTCGGTGGCTGGAAGCTCGTCTTTAAGACTAGGATTGGTAAGCATGAATTATTCGCTCGTAATGAGAGAGAGAACGACGCGTTAGCTAATACAATTGGCATGGACAATCAGCTAGCAAAGTTCTCAACAGCAGTGATCCCAAGGTCGCCGTCTATAAGAGTTTTGTGGGATTCCGTGACGCGGTCTTCGAGCTGGCCCAACTCTACCTTGATACATCAGGCAAGATCCCAGTCTGTCTTCTTTTGCTCTTATTGAACCAGACTGACTGGTTGTTGGACACACATAGATGTTGGTGCTGGCGCCGGTTTTGATGTCCCCCATAGCAGTTATAACGGGGTTACACTCTCTGATGACGCTCTTGATAACCTGAAACTGTTTGTCAATGAGTGGCTGAATACTGCCGACACGCGCCATCTAAATGTGATTGGATACTCATTGACAGCACAAAAACCAACTTCGCGTAAGTTAGCTGCAGATTCATACTCGTTTCTCAGGTCTTAGAGACTGCTAACAAAAAGAACTTGTAGCTCAAAACTTTGTCGGCACCTTTGCTCCGTCAATCATTGACTATGCCCCTTATGCCTGGATTGACCCACGTCGACCCACTGTTGAGACAGATGGCCTGCAGCAAAATGCACTGGCCATGCTGACCTATACCAATAGCAGCCATCGCAGTAGCTATGCGCCACCTGGTCTACAGCACAGTGGCGCATTTACTGACAGCGGTGCAGCTTTCTGCATGAATATGAGTCTCCTTTGGAACCACTTTTTGCTAGGCCTCCTACAGGAGATTAATCAAAAGACAGAGGTGATCCCGCAGAAGGCGGCTTTTGCAACGGTCGAATGCAGATATGTCCTTGGCAAAAATCCCAGGCATCGCAGCATGAGCGATAGGTACTTTGGTTGGAAGCAGCAGAGCAAGGATGGGCAACCACACTGGATCTGGAAGGGAGATGCTCAGAAGCGTGCAGATAAGTGGAGTTCTCGAGGATCCAAAATGTACTACAAGTTCGCCCAAGAAGGTAAGAAATCACTTTAGATGTCTGTCTCGGTGGGAGAACAGTCCTGCTAAAAAAATCTCTGGTGGTATGCAGCTTGTTCATCAACAGAACTATCATTCCATGCTGGAGGAAGTGACATTCATCTTAAGGGAACAGTTATCTATGATGCTCAGCTGACTACTATTGGGTACCCATGGTAATATGCCTTTTTTTATTTCCTTTCACTCAGCATTGTTGACTCGGAATTAATATACTTGTATAGGTCTATGGCCTTCCACAGCGTGACTGAGTGGAACCTGAGCTTCCGCATGCAGGCTGTCGCAGGTGGCGGTATCCAAATCATCCGCGCCGGCAACCCCTCTGTTCATGCGAAGATAGTCAAAGTTAAAAGTAACAACTTTCCTGATAAGGGTAGGATAAATCGGGGACTTCATTCTCTCGAGAAAAGTCTAGAAAATTACCTGCGCAGTGGGATTGGAAGGATCACAAACCAGCTTGGCAGCAAGCTGAAGAACCTACACAAGCTGTTCCTGCCTGGTCTTGGTGTGTTCCGTTTTGGAACACCACAGTTCAATAAAAGAGGCGACCTTCTCGCTGATCTTGAATACTTGAAGTAGGGGTTCTTTTCTTTTATCATCCATGACTGTTTCACTACTTATACTGACCAACAATAACAGAACCAATGCGCCCAGCAAATTTGTCATCTCCAATAGGTCAGTTAGAGACTCCTCACATGAGGTAGATGCCCTGCCCCTTCCATTTGAGGAAGATTTCGAGTCTCGATTCGCGCATATCGCCCTAATGTCTAAGGATTACCCCGAGGATGAGCCTGTCTTTGACGAGGAGAATATGCACCAGCGCATCGAGATGGACTACGAGCACAAAGAAGAATCAGACTTATTTTTTGATCTTAATATCATTGATATCGAAAAGTCCGCACAGTACGAAGCTGACGAGGATTTTTTCCCTGGCCCTGGTCCTGGTCCGCTTGCGGGCGTTGACTGGGACCATGTCGAGCGGACGGAAAGGCCTTGGCATGAGGAGGGCGATGATGAGTACACTGAAGACAAGGGCCCGGACGATAAGCCAGAAAAGGAGATTACCAAACAGCCAACAGTCAAAACCCCGGTTGTTGATAATGAAGATGGCGATATTCCCCCACCTTTTGGTCCGTTGGATGGTTAGAATGTGGTGTCGGAAGCAATGTTACAATACATGACTGGGAACCCGAGTATTCAACACCTCGGAAAATACATGGACCGCTATGATAGTGGGCCCCATACAAATTGCATATTAAGCTTAGTCAATTATACCCCAGCAAATTGTCAAATAACGTATTCGGTAAGCGAGCTGGCCATGTAAGCGAGCTGGCCACCCTACCCAAGCTACTAATTTAAAATACATATAACTCAACCGAAACTCCATTAAATTAAATACACTAAAATGATCTATTCTCTGGACATGCATTTCTTTTATGGCCCTGATTTTAATATAGCCCGCATGTTGGTAATGCTCTCGTTCGAGGCTGTAAAGGTGGCGAAGGCCTTCTCTGCCGGCGGGGGGGAGGCGCTTTAACCGCTTTAACCGCTTTAACCGGCTTAGTAATTAATTGAGAAGCTTTAAGAACTAAGAGGCCTTCTTTAGCAGGTATCTGCCTCCGGGATCTGGTTGTTACGCACTGCCTAACTGGTCACAGTTATGTTAGAAGCTTTCCTGATTATACTTGCCTGTGCTGATCCTCCAACGTTAACGATCTGTCTCTTAACCGAGCTGTTGCTACGCACAGTGTGAAGGTGTGAAGGGCTGAAGCTTTATTGATTCAATTAGGCTAGGCCAACATGCTGTTTACATCAATCTTAGAGAAAAGGTCACTATCTACTAGCGATAGGGGTTTATGTATGTTGTGGGCACGTGCCTTACGTGATCTAGGCCGGGCTCTGGCCCGTTATAGTACCCCCCCCCTCTCACATTGATTCTTACGACGGGCACGATGATATCGCTGTCGGTGTCAAAACGGTACCGAGAGGGCCTCGGAATAGGCCTATATCGTCGTTCGTAGTCGTCTAGTGTAGAGCAATTCTCGACTAGATCTAGTCTTTCCTATATCTAGACTTCGGCACAGCCCATTCTAACCCGGACCCAACCCAACCCAAAATGGGTTTTGGGTCCATTGCTTCGACCCAACGATGGGTTTGGGGTTATAACTAATAACCCAAAACCCATTAGGGCCCCAATATAGTACAAACTAAACAAACCAAAAAATTATATGGTTGAAATTCAAAGATTTGAATATATATATATCTAGTATAGTAACTCAATTTCAAAACAAAAACAAATTTATATAAAAAGCATTTTACACTATTAAAAAAGTATATTTAAAAATGCCAAGACTTAGATTTTATGAATTTTATGAAGTTTTATGTAAAAATGGGTTCAAATGGGTTATTATAGGGTTATTGGGTTGGGTTTTGGGTTGGAGTCTCCGACCCAAAATGGGTTCTGCCGAAGTCTACCTATATCGTTTCTGCGTATCCTACCTATTTTACTAGAACCTTAGTCTATATTCCCCTACTAACTTACTTCTCCTGTATTAATAGGATTTCTTCGACTTCGTACTCTAGCTCACTATTAACTAATACCGGAGTATTATGCACTACCTAACTGGTCACAGTTATGTTAGAAGCTTTCTGGTTATACTTACCTATGCTGGTCCTCTAATATTAATGATCTATCTCTTAACTAAGCTGTTACTATATATAGTCTTATCTAGCCTAAGTCCTTTTAAGGGTATTAAGGAATAATATTAGATAGAGTATTAAGTAGATCTATACTATAGTATAAGTCTACTTATAGGTATTATTAAGTGATAATATAGTAAATAAGTTAATAAGGTTATAAGGTAAATATAAGTAATAATATATAAT